CACAAAATTACCATGTGATCCAGCAACTCCACTTCTGGATGTATAGACAGAAGAATTGAAAGTAGGGTCTTGAAGAGATATTTGTGAATTCATGTTCATAGCGACAGTGTTCACAATAGCTGGGCATACATTTGAATGGTATTAATCACCCCCTACATATTGATGGCTTCCAATTTCTTTCACCAGTCCACATACATCACTCTCAAATCCAGTTTGCTCAAAACTGAATTGACCACTTTCCTCCTTTCTACAACTCATGGATTTGCTTCTGTGTTCAGCCTCTCAGCGGCACTGTTATCTACCCAGCTACCCAAGCCAGAAACTTGGGAGCCCTCCTAAGGAGTCGACCTCATTCTCTTCTCTCCATATCTACTTTCACCAAGTTCTACTTTTTCTACTTTCTGAACATCTCTTGTATTTGCTCCTTCTCTCCAAATGTACTATCACTGCTCAAGTTCAAGCCTCATCATCTTTTGCTTGGGCTATTATATTAAAACTTTAACCTCATTTCAGCAGAATTCCAGCTTCAACCTACCCATCACACTGCTGACAGCATAACTAACACAAATCAGACTCTGCTAGTCCCCTGTACCTATAGGATAAACTCTAAATTCCTTAGAATGCCATTCAAGTCTTGTCCTATCAGGAACTGGTGCTTGCCTCTGTAGTCCAACCTTACCACCTCCACTTTCCTCCTCACCCCTTATAATCTAAGAGAACTGAAATTACTTGTAATTCATCCAAACAAATCATGTTTGGGGGTTCCCACCCCACCTGTGCCTTTGCCCATAAGAATTCCTGGACTACCGTCTTCTACCTTGTTTACTTATAAAACTCCTATTTATTTTGAGACAGCGCTTTGAGTCATCACCTCCTGTAAGAAATATACCTTGATCCCACAGGCTGGGTTAGGAACCTCTCTAAGTGATCTCATGGTTCTATGCATACATTTCTCATAACACTTACAAGTGAACTTTTCAACAGCAAGAACTTTTTTCTTTCACCTTTCTATTTCCAAGCACAAAATAGGAGCTCCAGAAATGTTTGTTAAATTTGTACAAACAATTTGTAACACAGTTGCTAGGTTCTCTATCTAATTTTGACCCTCTTTGCCTTAAAGACTGATCCCTAGCTTCTGGATAATAAAGTCAAAATAGAGGAAGTCAGAGCTAAGAGATAGAGAGCAAAAGATGAGGTACATGTCTTGTAATGGTGCTGATCAGTCCGACTTCCCTAATTGCTGGTCACCCACATACACAGGAGTGGGCACATGAGCCATTCTGGCTGGTGTAACATATCCCCTAGTGACTGATACAAGGATGAATGTGAACATGACACAAATGGTGGGGAATGAAGTGGGAGGAAGGCCATCTGAATTCACCTGAAATGCACAAAATAATGGGGTTCCCATAATAAAGGAATTCTATCACTCAAAGAAGGAGTAAGGGAAAGCATCTGGGTAGATGAAAACTATGGCTACCATAATCTACTGTAAGAGAACACTATATCTAGAATCCCCTTGCCCACCTGGCAAACTCCTGCTCATGCTTCATGACCTATTCTAAACTTCATTATCACTGTAAAGTCTTTCCTGATTCCCCATGGCAAAAATTGCTTCCCTTTCTAAGTTCCTGTAATGTAATGCTCAATAGCAGGTGCAATGAAGTTAGACAGGTCTGGATTTAGATTCTAGTTTTGCCACTCAGTAACTGTGTGTTATTTAACTTCTTTGAAGCTGACTCCTCATTTTTAAAATGAGGATACCAGTATCATCCTCAGAGGACTGTTGTGGGATTAAAGATGCCAATATAAAGTGATTGGCATATATGAGGCACTCAGATAAAGTTAATCTCACTGCCTCCTCCTCCTCCCCACTCTATGCCATACTAGAATGGACTCTTTGAGGAATTGTATTTGCTCTTCCGTGTTCCCAGTTCCTAGGCAGAGCTTGACATATACTGGGTTCGTGATAAATGTTTGATAACAGATAAATCTGCAGAGGGGAATTTTGTGCTGATGGAAAAAACAATGATCTATAGTAAAGTTAGTTGTACACAGAATTTGCTCCTCTGGTAAACTATAAATTCCCTTAGGATAAGAGCCTAATTGTGTAAATCTCTGTGTTATCATTGCCATAACAAACAAAAGGGCTTTGCTGGTGAGAATTTTTTAAGACAGGAGACTGGATAGCCCCAGGATGGATGAATTTGAGCAGCACCTCCTCTGAAGTCAGTTATTAAATGTGTGGCCATACTGCCCTCTGGAGACTGAGGATTTTTCTCAAAACATCACTAAAAGAGATCTTCCCATTAAGAGGTATACCTAAAACCCTGATGAATCTTGTAAAGTTTTCATATGTAAAATGTTATAAGCAGCTTTTCTAAAATTCCCAAATAACAATTTCAAAAAATAGGGAGACCCAGGAATTAAAAATACAAAAATTTCTCACTGTTCTTTCTCAAATTTCTACAATTGATGAAATTGTTTTTAAGAAGCAGCCATGTGTGTTGCCATTACAGTATACTCCATATTTATTAGACAATTGACAAGAAAAACAACTTTTGGCACAAGAATGCCAATTTATTCTTTTTTGGACACATGAACACAAAATATCCCTGCAGGCCAAAAAAAAAATTGCAAAATTTAAACAACCATCATCTTATTTCAACATGGGGATACCAACCCTCCCTTAATAGTTTAGAAAGTACCTCGTATTGCTAGAGACATACATCCAGTCCAAATTTAATAAAATACATTTTAAAACGTTACAGGTCTAACGATATAGAAACAAAAATTACACCATTAGTCAAATGAACAAATGCAAACATTTTCAGCCACTAGACATAGAAAGAGCATGAATATGTCAATAGCAAGGGATAAGAAAATGGTTAATCAATAACAAGATCTTCCCTTTAATTTTGCAAGGAAAAATCCTTGGAGTTGAAATCGTATTGATACAATGCCCTCAGCCTCCACTTTCTTAAAATGAAAGCAGAGTTACCGCCTTGCTATTGAGCAAGAATATCTTACAGCACATCCACAAAGGGTTGCTAGGGCAGGGTGGAGAGGGTGAGCCTTGTTAAACAGTGGATTACCTTTTCTCACAGGAGGGATAGGTAGCTGAGCCAGGTAGGTAATCTCTGATATAGGCTGGGCACCAGATCCTAAAATACAGACCATATAGAATATGTCTGCTTGTAAATCATCACCTTTGGAAGCAGCAAATAGAATTTACAGTAAGAATGAATATGTTCTGTCTGCCTAGACTGCTGGCTGCGTTAAGCCAGCTAGTTATCTTTATAAATTGCTCAGAGTTCAACAGCTAACAACAACGACAAAACATAACTGGTTCAACATTTGGATCTTCACCACTCTCTTAATGTCCCCGCACCTTGTCCCCAAATTGTTACTCTTTAGCATTGCTACATTTAAATCTTTCACACTATGTGACAGTGCCTAAACAGGTTGCATTTTAAAAAAATCAAGCACCCTAAACCTACTTCTAGTGAATGCACACCTCCCATTGATTGACACATGCATAACAATTCAGTCAGTCCAGAGGGTTACGGATTCAAATTGTCAAGCCCAGTTGAAACTATGCATTCAGACTTGCTTGCAATAGTACTGCTGCAACTCTGATTCTGCAGTGGTTATCTCTTAAAGATTCGCTCCTCAGCAAGTTTTTCCAATATTCCTAGTTCTTCTATATTTCTTTCCTTTTGTCCAAAATGACAGCGTTGCACACTTAAAGGTACTGTTTTCCTATAAAAATAGGCCTCCCGGCTTTTCCTCCACCACCACAATGATTTGTCCCAGTGAACTAGGACTGACTGAGGTTGTACAAACTGTAGGGTTCAAGGTTGAGCGTACAGCCCAACTGCAGGCAAGCAAATCAGGCTTCCAGGCACTCTGCCTTGCTCTCTGTTCCATTCATGCCAGGAGATGGTGAGAAGTGACGCTTCTTCTGTGCGTTATTAACAAGCAAGCCCGAGGCACTCAAGTGCTGGTGTGGTGCCCGCTGGCCAGCCAGCCAGCCAGCCACCAAGAGTTCTTCAAATCCTGGACTCCAGCAAGCCCTCCTCCTATAAAAAGCTTGTTTTTCCTCCTTTTGGGTCTAGGGTGGCCATGCTGAAGAGTATTTTCTGTGCTCTCCCTGAACAAGTGTGAATAAAAGCAGCAGCCAGCCCCTCACCAACATGTCCTGATTTGTAGTATCCAAGTGAGGTATTTGCAAAAAAGGAAAATCTTAAGAAATTAACATTTGCCATTTCTTCACTTTGTTGTGCATCAGTTACAGAGCTTGCTTTCATCCCACTGTATGCAGAGAATAACATCTGCATTCATCTTAATGAGCTACAGGACTCGATATATATTATAAAACTCTCAGAGACCAGTCTCACCAAACACTGGTGGTCCCGCTGATCAACAGCACATGGAAATGTAAACTTCGATGTATTTACTAGCTTGTTTAAAAGACTGAAGAAAAACAGGGCTTTATATTGCTGGGATTTTGAGAAGGCTAGTTTAAAAGAGTTGGACTGGCTAATGAGTTCAAGCAAACACCCTTCACCATCAGATCCAGTGTTTCCAGACAGAGGTGGTAACATTGATTTACCACATTGAGTCTTTCTCTTCTCCCAGCTCCTTCCTCATCCACGTGGAGTGTGGCTCTGGGCCTTTTATCCCCTTTTCCAGCTCTCACTCCTGAGGGTCCAGCACAGAGAATTACAGGCCAGTGAAATTTGGGCTGGGCAACACTGGCTGCAACTACGAAGACTCTATGTAACTGTTGTCCATTCACAAAGTATTATCTACACTAAATACAAAATACATT